CCCAACCTGGGCACAGGGTGGGAGGGAGGGGTCACTGGGCAGAGGAGACATGTGGGATGGTCACATGTCCTCCCCTTTAGATTGTGCCCCCCCAGTAGGGGGAAGCATGAGTTGTTTATGCCCTCATTGTTAAAAATGTGCACCTTATTTCTAGTCTAAATTTGTCTAGCTTCAATTTCCAGACATTGAATCTTGTTATGTCTTCATCTGCTAGACTGAAGACCCCATTATCAGTGTTTTGTAACCTATGTAATTCTCTACAGACTGCGATAAAATCACCCTTTAACCTTCAGTTTGATAAGCGAAATAGATTGAGTTCTTTCAGTCTTTGACTCTAAGGCATGTTTTCAATCCTTTAATCATTCTCATGGCTCTTCTCTGAATCCTCCTTAATTTTTCAATATCTTTCTTGAACTGTGTACATCAGAATTGGACACAGTATTCCAGCAGTGGTCAGACCAGTGCCAAATACAGAGTTAACATTGCTTGTACTTGATATTTCCCTTTTTATGCATCCATGGATTGCATTCACCTTTTGGCCGAGTGTTGCACAGGGAGCTCATGTTCTGCTAATTATCCACCACAACTCCCAAGTCTTTTCCAGAGCCACTGCTTCCCAGGATACTCTGCCATCCTGTAGGTAAGTCCTTCATTCTTTGTTCCCGAGTGCTTTTGAGAATACTACTCTACATGTGTAACTACCTGACTGCATATGCAAATTTGTCAAGCCTAAAATTATTCTAGACATAAAATTTCAGGTGCAAAATCAGAGGCCAGGTTGAGGCTTTTTAGAAAGACAAGGGCATAATGTCTCTTTCAAAAACAGACATACAAAATTTTCGTAAAAAGTCCTTAAAAAGGAGCATTTTGGGTATTGTCCCAAATATCTCTATATTTACACAGATTTTTAATTTTTATGTAGCCCAGGCACAAGAACAGTTCTTCTGGTTTAATATATATCTCTAATTACTTCAAAAGCTGCATTACTTACACAAGAGAATATTCTCTTGTCGGATGTGAATTACAAAGTTAAGATGTGTGCTACCTGTAAAAACAAAAACAAACACCCCCCCCATAAGAATATGTAAAAATAAAATGTAGTGTGCATTTGCAGAAGATGAGTTTTAAACTTCAGTAACTATGCTGCTGTTAAATTACTCTTATTATTTTTATCTACCCAGGATAAAGACCATTTTTACGTTACAGATAGAGTGTGCCGCAAACTGTATTTTGAACTGAAATAGTCCTACTTACAAGTACCCCCCCAAAACATCCAAGCTAGTAAACTACAAGGGCTATATTCTAGTTTTAGTTACATCAGTGAAAATCTGAAGTAACTCCACTGAAGTCAATGGAGTTCCTGTAGAGTTATTCTGCTGTAGCTGAGATCAGAATCTGGCTCCTATTTTTTTTTTTAACACTTAGGTAACAAACAATGAAACCAACCCCCCTCCCCTTCCCCCCCAATTATACAAATTCAATTTTTGGAGTATACTAGGTAAGTATCAATCAGTTTGAAACCCCAGGAGACAGGTATTTATTTAAATGGAAGAGCTATACCAACCCTACCACAACTATGATAACATAATAAGTCAAAATTATTTATGTATTTACTATGATCTACCAGTACAAACATTCCATTGTAAATCTGAACTAGAGAAATAAAACTGTAGGTGCAAGTTTCAGTGAAGAAGGCACTGAGTCAAATCAAAGTATATCATTTTTTTTCTTCTTCCCACTCAGACACAAGTACAATTTATTGACTGCATAGAATAAATAGCATTTGTCATTTGGCAGTTGTGAAACCTAAAAAGAAAGAGGAATTATTCATAAAACCTCCCAACCTGGCCCTCACTTGATCAGTACTAGAAGGAGGGGTGAGTGAACAAACCAGCAAAGAAAAGTTGCATTGGAGCCAGAGAATTCCATGCCATTTATGGCAGCATTGCTTTTTACAGCTTAGGCTTGTCAGACCAAGCCTAAGGTTATCTATTAACTCCTTCACATCTGGAAACCTAACTTAGGTGACTGAAAATCTGAGAGAAATCTGAGAAAGAGAAATACTGTCTGCTCCAAATAAAAGCCAAGGGATACCATTTTACATAACTTTATACTGGGGTATTAATATGTGGGAAATATACTGGCAAAACAACAGACTGATTGATCTGAAATTCTATCACCACATTTCAGATGAGTCTATCACCTCTTTACTATTACTATTATCATTATTTAGTATCTGTATTACCGTAGTACCTCAGAGCCCTAGTCATGGACCAGCACCCCATTGCTTTAGGCACCCAACAAACACACAACAAAAAGACAGTCCCTCTGCAAAGAGCTTACAATCTAAGTATATGAGACAACAGATGGGTAGACAGACAGACAGACAGACAGATAGGGGAGTATATGGAAACAATGAGTCAATACTGCCAGCATGATAGGCAGGGGTCTCAGCACATGAAAAGCAGAGCCATTGCCAAGTGTTTTATAGACATCACAGATAAGGAGAGTTTTAAGGAGAATTTTGAAGAAGGAGAATGAGTAGTTTTGCAGATGTTTACGGGGAACACCTCCTCAGTGTGTAGGGCAGTATGGGAGAAAGAAAAAGGTGCTTGTCTGAAAATTTAACAAGTGAGCAATGGAGGCTGTCATCATGGGCCGACCAGAAGTGAGTGTGGATTGTGAATGAGAGATGATATGCAGGGTGGGAGTGATTATGAAGGATCTTGAAAGTGAATGTAAGCAGCTTATGTTTGATGTGATGGAGAGGGGGAACCACTGGACGGATGCAAAGAGAGCTGCTCTTGCCTCCCTGAGCTGTCAAGGGGGAGTTCCCCAGGGAAAAAGGATTGAGCATCCTGTGACTTACTGAAGAAAGAATCAGTCTTTACACCATGAGGCATGTTTGTTCTAAAATCTGAGGCCTAGTCTACACTAAAAAATTAAGTCAGCTTAACTGTGTCACTCTGGAGTGTGAAAAATCCACACTCCGAGTGGTATATTTAAGCTGATCTAACCCCCAGTGTAGATAGCACTAAGTTAACAGAAGAATTCCTCCATCAACCTAGCTATCGCCTCTTGGGGAAGTGAATTACCTATGCTGATGGGAAAACCCTTCCTATTGGCAGATGTAGTGTCTACACTGAAATGCTACAGCGGCGCAGCTGCGTTGCTGTAGCATTTTAAATGTAGATGTAACCTGTAATAACTGTCATCAGCATTAAAACCTTTCATGAGAAACTTAAGCTGAAATGTATGAAATGGCTCAGGAGGACATTCTCAATGTCGCTATTTAAAAGGCATTTTTAATATAAGTAGTCCTTCAATAGAATGAAACCTAAGGGCTGAATGGAAGCTGTCACATAAGAAGCCACTGGCAATGAGTGGTATTTCACACCTCGAGGGATTTAAAATTTCCATACCAGATGTCATCATGATCATGGGACAGGGCTATCCAGACTACAAATGGCACCTGTAGTATAGAGATGTTAGTGAACCAGATCCACTGACTTGGCTGTCTTTGTAGTGCAGCTGTGCCCTAATTTATTTAAAAAAAAACCAAAAAACACATGCTTAAAACCACAACTAGCCATCATGCCTTTGAACAATTCCATGGGAGAGCCCAAACTTTGAGTTTCCTCATCTCAGCTGGAGCATTTTATTACATTAATAATAAATAAATACATATTAAGAGTTACATTATGCTTTTCATCTTCAAAGTGATTTATAAACAATAACTAAGCAATGCTTCATTTGTGGAACTGAGTCAGCCAGTTGTCTGCTATTTAGCCAATAACAACCACAATACTTTCACTGAATATTTACCACTCACCTATCTATAGAATTTATACAACCGAAGGCTTCAAAATTTAGGCCTTGATCATGCAAACACATGTCAACATGCTTAACGTTACACTTGGGAGCAGCCCCATTGCAGTCAGCCAGTCTCATCATATGCAAAAAGCAAAACATGCTTAAATGTCTGCAGGACTGGGGCCTTAATGAAAATCTTTCAGCATTTTGATTAGTATCACATATATTTGAAAATAAAGGAAGTACAAAATAGGTCGGTTTTGATTGTTTTTGTTTTACTAGGAAATCTATATGCTCATATCTCTATTTTCACAGTACTTTTAAATAAAAATCCTTTAAAAAATCTATTGTGCCTATAATATTGCTGTCACTTGTTGATAATGTTGTTTTAATGCTGGTAACTTCCCTCCTTTGGCCTCTCAGAAAAACATCCACAAAAACCCAAACAGCTACAACTCTTTAATATGGGACAGGAATTCACTGATGGCTGGATGCATGATGCAGCATGTTCTTCAGAACATACATCTTTTCAATTGGTCTGCAAGATTAAAAGTAAACTAACTTTTTTAGAATAAAATTCAATTATATTCTTATTTACCAAGATGCTTCAAAATATGCCAGGAATCATCATCTAGATTGTAAAAGAAAAAGTTCTACATTTCACTAAAGATATCAGGAAAAATATTTTAGTATAATAATTGTTCTGAAAGAGTTAAATAATCTATACAACAGTTATTTCAAAACTTTTCTCTGGTAAAATGACTTTGAAAATATAAGAATATGGAAAAATTGTGGCTCTCTCAAAAGGCATCTCTTACACAAGACATTTAACATAGATAACCCAAAGACTATTTTTTGTATTTTTACAAATATTCCCCCTACCCTCAATTTTAAATAATTTATTGAAAGTTTAGAAATGAAATTCTTACTGAATTTTGGATAAGTCTTTATTTCATCACTGGCTTCCTTCTGCAGGTTGCTCATAAAGCATGAGACAATAGCATCTTTTTTCAACAAAGAACTGTAAACTGATATTTAAAAAGTAGGTGAAGTTTGGGGTCAGTGTTTCTTTAAGAACGCTATTTTTTCAAAAGGGTGTCAGGTGATCTAAGAGATGATAGGGCTCACATGAAGATAAGCCATCTAAGTGGGATGGAGGCTGAAGTTTGTCTTGTAAATGCACTTACCTAAATTGCTGTATGTAGCACTGCAAGGGCTCAAGTCAGAAGAATCTGAAGTTTCCTCATTTTCTTCTTGCCCTTGTGGGACATGGGAAGTTGACACTGGTATGACCGAGGCATTGCCACCAATGTCCTGCTTCACAAACACAGCTCTTGGAATCTGAGGAGACAAATCTTCCACTGTGGTCTCATCTGGCAATTGACTGAAACAAACAAACAAAATTCACCTGGTGGCCAAAGCTACCTGCCATATGTTATTAGTAAAACACTAGGTTTGGAATAATAAAATGCCTTTAGGTAAAAGGCAAAGAACTGGGAAATGGAAACAAAAATGTGTCCCTTTCATCTCTCCAAATTTTTTACAATGACTTTCTAGCAAGTTGTTTTTCTTTCTCCTCACTAAAGTGCATTCACTTTTCACTACAGTATTAATGGTAGGAAATATCTTTCGTACCAAAGTATCACAAAATGTTTCACACAATTGAGTATAGTCAATACATGTAAGTACATGCAATGCACAGACATAACAATACTGTACATTGTACAGCATCTGTAGGATTTATAGGGCAGCAACAGTGATTAAGGTTTGTTTTTAAACCAATTAGAAGGACTTTGCTTTAATGAGAGTTATACATTTACGCAGAGAAGAATATACTCCTAAACTCTCTAGGAAATGCATAAAACTTTAAAGCTACATTTTCAAATTCTGGCAACATAATAGGAATTGTCACACTGGAACACAGACCAATGAGTCCATCTCATCCAGCATTCTGTCTCCTTATAGTGACCTGCACAAAATATTTCTGAGGATTAAAACCCAGGCAATAATGCATCAAGCAATGCTAGGGGATATTTCTCCTTCTCTGCTCCCAACTGGTGGGAGTCTTCTTAATCAAATTGTGAAGACTGATAGCTTTACATCATAATAAAACTGTGAAAATAAACTATTTAGTCATTTTACAAGTGTTATATTTATAGAATATAGTTCAAAATGATGCAAAATATATACCAAATAAAAATTAGTAATGTCCAGGTTTACCCAATGAATTACTGCCTATTGCAGTTATATCAGCAATTGTCAAGAATGGTGCCATTTATAACATTTTAGACATTGGTTAATGACATTTCTGTGTCTACACACATATACACACATTAGGGATCAACTTTGGAGAGTAAAATCTCAGTAGCTCTCATGATTTGGTCCTGATCCTGAAAGATACTGAGAACCCGTAACTTCCATTGACTTCAACAGAAGTTTAGGGCAGACACTTCACCAAGGAGAGACTTAGAACCTCCCAGGATCTGGCCCTATATTTGTATATCAGTGTATCTTTTAAAATGAAAACTCAGAGCTCAATCCAAACTTCTGATGAGCTGGAACACAAGTATATATTTTGTAAACCTGCCCCATTGTGCTTGTGTACACAGCACAGCAGCCGATTTTCCATGATACACTGGTGATCTTACATTTGCATATCAGAAGGAAGACTGTGCCCTTACAGACCTGTTATGAATTGTAAAAAAAAGTTTCTATACCAACTCAAAACTGACAGGCCATAGAGTACAAAATGCAGTCTCCCAACCAATCTATAGTCAGACTACAAACACTAAAACATGCTTGTACTTTGCATAATACAAAATTCCATGTATAGTACGCACATGCTACTTCAAATTTCATACTTGTGCAATTTTAAGTGCAGACTTATGAAAACAAGAACCATCAAAACATATTAGTAACAGAGCAGAGACAAAATGGCTAAGTTCAAAAAGCTGTAATTTTAATCATTTAGTGTCAAAATCATTGATCACTTTTTATTAACATGCATGGGAATGGTGCAGACAGCACATTATATGCATCAAAAGATGTGCACATTAAAGAGTTAACCAAAGGCATTTCAAATTAAGACATACATTAAATCAAAGCAGGTACAACGTTCTTAAAACCAAAGAAATCATCTTAAAGACCTGAGGTTATCCTACCACCAACAAATCTTATACATACCTGTATGTATCTCTCCAGTAAAAATATATTTGTTCAAAATAAATGGTCTATAATAGGTCTGCTATTCTGATACTACTATGTAACAGAAATTCTCGTATCTTATAAAACAATTTTAGTATTGAATGGCAAGGTACAGAATACACTAATTCCCAGTCCCAGACACATGCATGCACATACATTAAATCTAAGTTCAGAAGCATTTGCCAAACAAAGAATATCAACAGCAAGAGACAGAGAAATAGAGAAAAAAAAAAGTGAACTCACCCACTATACTCACTCACACAATTCCCCATTAAAGGAAATTCTCTCAGGACCTTCTTGAGTCTTTTAATCATGTCTTGAAACTCTGGTGAGCCATTGATTCCACAGTGTTCTGGTGTGCTACAAGTTGTGCAAGCTGTGAGCAACAAGGCTGAACTCTGCACGCAGTGATATCACCTACTGCACCTTGATGTTTACTTTAGGGGGTTGGTCTGAGGGATTTGCTAGTATACTTTAAGGAATGTACTATTATCTAAGTTATAGCCCAGCCTTCTTAACTCTCTCACTGCTGTAACACATGAAATATAGTTTAAGTTCTACTGGAACACTATTTTATTCTGCCATGTATCACATTAACTAGTCAAGTGAGAACAGTTTCAACTGTAGCTAACACCAAATGTGTTGTAAGCCTTTAAAGAGCTCTAACTAACCTAACTTTAAAAGTCTGTGAAAATTTTAATCTGTATTCAAAGTGATATTAATATCTAAAAAGAATAAATGAATTCTTTGAAAACGGCAGCAATGCGATGCCATGTTGTGATACCTGGGAGCAAGCACCTCTCTTTTTATGGGAGAAAGGGAGCGGTTCTGAGTGATCAAGCTAAAACACCCTAATACACTCCACCAGTTGTTTAATGGAAGGTCAACTCTTACTCATCACCCATAAAAGACAGAAGTAGGAATAGAGAAATATGAAAAGAATTCCTTACTACTAATTAACGCATAAGGATCACTCAGAACATGTCAATATTTTTTGCCTTATCTGATCATTTAAAACTTTATTGTTAGCTTTCTGGAAAAACATAACACCTATAAAAATTACCATAACCTAGATGAGTGTGCTCTGATATCCCCTAGTGGCTGATACCTGCAAGATCATAATCTCGTATACATGAGATGGTCTGAGGCCCCTGGTCTTCTACTGATGAACTGCAAAAATTCAAAGGAATTTACAGATATGTTTGATTCTATACAGACCTCTGAAATCCCTCTGGATTTCTAAGGTATGAAGCCTGAACTCCCTGAATATGAATAAAGTTTGAGGAAAAGTTCAGGCAAGTTAATGGCCTGAGATGGAAATCAAACATCACTTTTGACAGGAACTTAGAATGAGGATGAAGAATCACCTTATCTTCATGAAACAGTGTAGGGAGGATAAACAACCAAGTTTGTACCTGAGTAACTTTATGGGTTTATATTACGAGAATAAAAAAACAAACTGACATGCTGGATCAAACCAGTAGCTCCTGTAGTTCAGTTTCCTGTCTCTGACACAGGAACAGATGCTTCAGTGGAAGGTGAAAGAACCCCACAGTTGACAATTTGAAACTGCCAACCCATAAAGGAAGTTTCTTCCTAGCTCCTGACTGTTAGAGGTTGACTTATTCTCTAAAGCATGTGGGTTTAAATCCCTTCTATTTTTAAAATTCTATATATACAATTTTCTCATTATCCATACAATAAGTCTAATCCTTTTATAAATTTTACTAAATTCTTGGCCTCAATGATATCTAGTGGCAATGAGTTCCACATTTTAATCACTCCCTGGCAAAAGGTATATCTTTTTATCAATATTTTTGTAAATTTGCTGTCTTTCAATTTAATTGAATTTCCCTTATTCTTATATTTTGAGAAAATACATACAGGAGTGCTGGATTTACCATCTGTACACCATTCCTTATTTCATATAATTATATTCTGTCCCCTCTTATTCGTCTCCACTCTAATCATTCTCATTCTCTTGCTGACTGTCTCTGAACACCCATTATTTTTGCTATATCCTTTTTGAGATAGGATGACCAGAAATGAATACATGCCTACAACAATACTGCACACAGAAATGAAAACTGTATTCAAGGAATGTGCATATCATTGATTTTTGCAATGACACTGAAGAATACTGCTTTCACAGAGAGATTGTAGAGAGAAGATTCTGACAAAGCTTCAAAAAAGATTAAAATACTATTATGTAAGTAGCTTGTGCTCCAGAGGGAATATACAGAACAATCCTTTCATAAACTTGGTTACAGCAGGGTGAATGAAAACTGTTGGTCCACACTTCAAAGGGTAGAAAGTCAAAATGACAGCCAGGTAGACCTTGATTGAACTCTGACACTGTTCATTGCTCCAAGTGGAGTAAACAGTTGAAGATGAAAGTGATGGAGGATCATCTCAGGTCCATTACATTTTGAGCTACCTAAATGTAGAATCTCTCCCATTTCAGTAAATAGGTTTGCTAGCTAAGGTCTTCCTGTTTTCCAGGATGATCTTTTGGACTTTATCAGAACATTCTTGAGTTAGTTTTCTAGCAGTCCAGAAGATAAGTTGACAGCCCAAAAGGCTATGAATTCAAGTAGAGAACCTCATCCCAATCCTGAGACAAGAGAGAAAGTAAATTGGGAAGATGGATTTGCCGCTTTTATATCTATTCTAGATGGCCCCAAGTTGGGACTTTCAACAGTACTCTGATTCCTTATTGTATAATTTTCCAGATGGTCTTTGCGATCAACAGGATTTGAGAGACTGAGTAACTCCAGACCCCAATCCAGGAGAATGGCATCTAGCAGTATTGTTCCTGCCTGCCTATGGAGTAGATCCAGAGATTTTTGGTATTGTCTCTGGTGGAAAAGTGATTAGCTAGGGCTTTGCCCCATTTACAGAAACGTTAATGCAGGATTGAGTCCTTAGGAGATTGTTCTTGCAACTGATTATATTTTGCCTTGAAAAACTTGCTAAGACATTTTCTTTTCCCAGGAGATAAAAGGCAATTACAATGAACTGATGGCAGGTGTTCCCCTCCTAGATCAAGACAGTCTGCTATTTATACTGGCAATATCAGGCTTCCTTTGGTGTTTGGCCCCAGGGTGGATTTGATTTAAATCAAATTGATTTAATTCATGATTTAAATCTGATTTTTTTTAAAAAAAACATTGATTTTTGTCCACCCTGTTTGGTCCCCAAGAGAGCTGGCATGGGTCCCGAAAAACTGTTTTATTTTTTTAAAACAAAATAATGACATAAAAATAGTATCCACAGACCGAAGAGAATGGACCAAAAAGACAAGGGGAGCACTGAGGACACTGAGTGTTTTCAGAGTTTGTTGCATCTTCTACACTTCAGGAAAGAACTGTAGGGTGGCTGGGGCCTATTTACACTGTTGGAACCCTGCACAAGGGATAGGGGAGTTTGTAAAGATACTGATCCCTGTAGACAGTTTTCCAAAAGATTTCAAGCTCACATTCCAAGGGTGAGTTACTCCCAAGAACAGATCCATGTGGGCAGTTCTCAAAAGCAAACTCTCTGTGCAATGTGTGAACATGATATCATTATAAAATCCTAAGGATAGCAAGGCATTTCTAAAAGTCTTGACATCTGTAATCTCTCACAATTATGGAACCTAATATTAAAATCTCCAGAATTTATAACTGGATCCTGATGTATTGTATAACTTTACAGTGGAGTGTCAGACATTACTGTTAAATTCAGAAAGCATTACAAAAATTTATATGGACCTATCTAAACATTTAATTTCTTCAAGCTGTAAGATCCATAGATCCTATGATGGGCTTGAGGCCTGTTTGCATCTTGATGGAACTCAGACCTGTCAATCGCTGGCACAGTTTATGACCTTACTGATGAAGAGATGACATAACTTCCGGTATGGAAGTTGGGGAGCCTTGTAGGTTTCTTCTTAAGAAATGTATGTCTCAATCCAAGAGACAAAGCTGCATGAGTGCAGAAGATGATGAGTTCTTTATCTTGTATGCCTCAGATATTCATAATCTGATGCACCTAGATATCAAAGGCTTTGAAGTCTTTTTGTTCCTTACAGCGAGGCAACAAGACAAAATTATGAACTTTATCTTCTGAATTCTTCAGTTTTCTGTAGATATGTTTTTATTATTGTGCAGACATCAAAGCTGTTCCACAGCTTTCCCATTGGACACAGTGGCTTGAGACAGAAAGCTTGCAGAACTGTCTCCTTTGAGACTTTAGGAATAAAAGATTGCTTTGTCCTGAAAACCACAATCTCAACATGAAAATAGAGTACTGGGGTTCTGTGGACAGAACTCTTCATTCCAACGCCCATCAGGCAGACGTAATTGCTATTAAAAAACCCAACTGTTAGAGAGGGAACACTGCCTTTATAAGTTCAGAAGAATATCTTATGGGGACTGCAGCGGGGTCTTATTGGAAAACCCGGGAGGTGGGTGGGCGCAAACCCTGAAGGGCTTGAAATTAGCCCTGCAAGAGGGCTGAGGCTGTGAGAGGGCTGCTGCTAGGGAAAGCAGCAAGCCTTAGCTGATTGGGGAAACAGCCACAGCTGTGGCCACGCCCCAGTCAGGACCCAGCTGGCCTTTATAAGAGGGCAGTGGGCCAGGAGGACAGAGTCAGTCTCTCTCTAGATGTTGAGAGGGAGGTGCCTGACTACTGGGAGCTGAGCAGGGTACCTAAAATGGACCGGAGCTGGGGAGCTCCAGCCTGAGAAATCCCCAGGTTGCAGGCCTTGATGAAGGCGTAGGAAAAGCGTACTGGGGTTGCAGAGGGCAGCCCAAGGGTAGGCAGAAGCAGCAGGTCCAGATCCTCCTTGCCGATGATGAGTGGCAATTATACTGCAGTCCGCCCAGTGAGCGGCTAGATGGTGACGTGCAGTAGCAAAAGACTGAGGTGAGGTAGGGATAGAGGGTGGGGGTTCCCGGGGGGGGGACCCAGATCTGTGGGGGTACTGCCAGGGGGCAGCACCCTGGGGCGAAAGGGGTACCGGAGTCTGGAAGGGACTCAGGGCCCAGCGGCAAGCAGGACACCGGCCTGAAGAGGGCTCTCCGGAGGCTGGAAATGCTAATTCCCTGGATGACCAGCAGAAGGTGCCGCACCGGTGAATCCCGCCCCGTTACAGGGACATTTAGCAACAGATTGACAGCCAGTGATGGGGCCACCATGTGTAGTTGTGGAGAATGGATCAGAAAAAGTATCAGTGTCTGCATGAAGTGATAATTATTTTGACCTTTCCCATATGCTGGATATAACTGATGTGCATACCAGTAGGGCCTCATTTCTAAGCCAGTGATGGACATCTCTATATTCTTCCCTCAAAACCACAGGAGGCCAAAGACCCATTATAGGGGTTTTGGATCTTAGTACTCTGGAAAATATTTTTACCAAGACTAATCTTGTTGTAATCAACTCCTCTAGGAAGAAGTCCATTGAATGAGCTGTGATAAATAACAAAAGAAAATTGTAATTCTAGCTACTCTCCTTCCCCCTCTGTAAAAGTCACATCAGCTGTGACATTCAGCCATATAGCCTAGCCTAAATTGAGGACAACGAGACTTCATCTTTCTACTAAAATACTCTACATCAGTAAAAACAAAAAGCTTTGTAAATCATGCCAAGAGGCAGCACAGGGGTTCACAACATAATCCAGATAGCAAGGGCTGAGAACTACTCACATTGATCTCTAGTATTCCTCCTTGAGGTCAATCCAAGAAGCAGTATTGACTTGCTCTACAAGCGAAGCTATCGCTAGCCCTTCTCTGAAGCAGAGGGTATACCTATGCTGCAGCTGGGAGTGAGCCTCCCAACCCGGGCAGACAGACTCGCACTAGCAGGGCTTGAGCTAACACGCTAAAAATAGCTGTGTGGGCCTTGCAGCTGTATCAGAAACTCAGGCTAGCCACTGGACCTCAAGCCTAGAGTCACAATGTCCACACAGCTATTTTTAGTGCTATCTCGAGCCCCACTAGCCTGAGTCTGTCTACCTGGGCTGGGATGCTAGCTCCCAGCTGCAATGTAGATATACTCAGAGAGGGCTGCTGTGATAGAGAGTTTGTGAGGGAGGAGTGACTGTGAGGAATGGTGGAGGAGGTATCCCACAAATCCTCTGGAATAAAGATGATCTTTACTCTAGATTTCATATTTTCTCTCTCCCCTTGAAACTATCTCTAGTCATCTTCCATTCTGCACAGACATAACACAAAGCCTTAAATGCAATTTCCTGCAAAAGAATCACTCAAATTACCAGGGTGAGCAGGATTAACTACTGCACCACCAAACAATAAATTTTATTTACAAATATTTGGTAAAACTTAGTTACTATGATTTTTTTTTAAAGAAAAAGAAAAAAACACAGTAGGAAAGGTTATATCCTGTCTCAATTTGAAACCTTTACCGGAAAGACTTTTCTATCCTTGGGACGGGGAGGGGAGTTCATTTTGGTTTTCAGAAAAACCCTCCACTGAGATGCCAATTTCATATTGCCAGCATCTTTTTAACCACTATGCATGACAAAAAAACAAAACAAAAACACAACAACAACAACCCCACAAAAACAAACAAACAAACAAACAAACAAACCCAACAAGACCATAACATGGATAAAATACTTGAGGGCCCCATCACAGACTCAAATTCATTCAGTTTCAAACGTTTATTCCTCATTTCAAGAGATGAATATTCTGCAAGTGCTGTTCTGGGTGATTAACTGACCTTTCCAGCGATATCATAACCACAACACAGTGCTAAAGGAATTTAAAGTTGTCAGTCTCTGCCACCTTCATAATCCACTATGGGATTAAAAAAAAAGTTCAGTTTCTCTTGTTGATATGCCTTCAGGACCCCCTACAAATCTGACATTTCTTAATCTGATCTTATTTTTCAGGTAATCAATTTGATCGCTCAGTGCGCTTTACAGTTGTTGGCATTCTCAGTTAGATAAGTGTCATGTTCATTGATCTTTATGTCTTCATGTCTGCAATTTTTCTCTAAGCCTGCTGCAGTCATTAACTGGAGATTTTGAACTTCTTTTCTGTTCCACATATTTTAGCCTGAATTAGCATTAACCTTTACCTAACATCTAATGAGTTAACACTAAGCAAGTGTAGCATCACTTGGTAAATCAAATAATACCTCCTACTGGTGCAAAACTGTAAGCAGCCAGGCCTGGTTCACAAATATTGTAAAACAGACAAATCAAAATCCTTGAACCGTATTGTCTTAATTTTTCGTATTGAAAAGGTCTCCCCCCCACCCCACTTTCTTCCCCCTCCTTAACAGCACTCAAAATCAAGTAAGAACAATTACCTTAAAACACCAAAATGCATCAAAGGCAATTAAAAAAAATTACAGAAAGCCCCATGCCACAAAAAGCTACCAAATCTTATTCTGCCCATAAAACTTCCAATGTTTCATTCTTTTCTTTTTTTTTAAATATTCTCAGAAAGATCACAATGGAGTTAGTACTTTTTATAAAACAGAATTCATAGCAAATACAATATAATTACCCTTGAAAAATTCTGAGCTATGATTTCACACTAACACCACAGCTTGGTGGGAAAAAAATAAAGAAAATTATCTAAAAAGGGGGTGAAAGAGAGACTAGCTATTGCAAACAGTAACAGTACAAACATACTCTAGGCAGGTGTGGTAAAGCAAAGTAACAGCACCATCCCTAGGGTAGTTGAAGACACTTTGTTTTCAGCCAGGTGCTATACTGCACTCAAGTGTGGTGATACTTCCTAGATCATAATACCCACTTTATACCCTTAACTTTAATCAAAAACATTGTAACAAAAACTTGAGCTTTCCAACTCTGAAAAATTATCAGAAAAGCAGACAATAAATAAGTCCTTATTGCACCAGTTTTAATAAAGGTGTGATTTTAAACTCATGCAAAAGGCTGAGTTTGACACTCCGATGGGCAGTTGAAAACAGGCTGATTTCAACTTTAGGTTAAATTGATTAGCAATCAGTTTAAGATAAACTGAAATACGAGTGTCCACACATAGATTTCCATGATTTTAAATCAGTTTAAAAACCATTTAAAGTTAAATCAGTGCATTTTTCTTGTATAGACAAGAGTACTGAGAACAAATAGGGTGAGGGAACTTTAGGACCTGACCTTGTTTTTGGTGAGGGTCAGACATCGCATTGAAAGGAACAAGTCTATGATTTTATAATTTTCTATCTGGCAGGGTACAACTAAAAGAATAATCAGGTACAAAAGTTTTAAAATACCTTTTGAGTTAATATATTGGTAGCCTGCTTTCACCAAGGCTTGGTCTACACTACCATTTACGTTGGTATACTTATGTTGCTCAGAGTTGTGAATAAGCCATAACCTTGAGCGCTGTAAGTTACACTGACCTAAGCACTGGTGTGGATAGCGCTGTGTCGGCAGGAGGACTTCTCCCACCGACATAGCTACCGCCTCTTGCAGAGGTGGATTTACTAGGCTGATGGGACAGCTCCCTCCCATCAGCATAATAAAATACATGCTAATAAAACCTGTGCCATGACATGGACTTTCAGTATTGGGTACTACAGCTGGAGATGTGTTTCTTTCCTCTGGAGGGGCACATGACAGACAGATAGATAGTCAGTATGCACTCTACTTCTCCCTGAAATATTTACCATCCACGTCTACACCAGAGTTCTTTAGTCTTCTATAACATAGAAATACCATGTTAATCTAAAAATTCAGGGCCATGTGTGTTTGATTCAGTGAAACAAGATCGACCTATTGAAGACAGTTCAAAATACTGGATGCTGTTCATATGAAGAAAGGTGCTAATGAAAACGACTATCCAGTAAAATGTTAAAACCGTAAAAACATTACACATACACATAAAAAGTTCTCTATAAAGCCCTTAAATTACTTCCCATTTCTGCAAAATGTACAGCATATTCCACAACACCGAATGAGTGAGTTAAAAAGACATATGCTGTTAATAGCAGTTTACCTGAGGATCTTCTTGGGAATTTGAGATGGTGAAGAATGACTCTTAATTTTCTGTTCAGAATCCTCTGCCAACATCTCTTCCATTTCTGCTTTGTCCTTTGCCTCTGTATCTTCATTTGGAGACTCCACTCTAGCCTTGTTCTGGTCAGTGTTTGGTTCAGCCTGTGCAGGTTCACATCTATACATGAAAACAATGGATGGCTTCTCACTGGAGTCTGTTTTTGACTCACTGAACCAATGGTGGCGTTGAACTGGAGGAGGAGGCAGCATATGTATAACAGTTCCATCAAGACCCACTAATTTCCCTTTTTCTCTTTCCTTCTCTTTGTCCTCCTCATCATCAGTCTTTCTGCGGCGGAAGAAGCTCTTAAAGGATATCCAGCGCTTGGGTTTTGCATCAGCTGCTCGTCTCCCTTCTGAATGCAGTATTGACTCTGCCTCTGTTGATCTAATGGGACTGGTTGGTTTGTTCCAGTTGCTGAAATGTCTTTGCAACAGATTACTTGCATGATAGGGTGAAGAAGTGGAACGCGGAGGGGGAAATGGAGGTGCTTGCTCTATTTTGGGACTTACGGTATTATGGGTGCCTGTTATTGGCTTTGAAGAATGGGTGGCAAGTGGCTTTGAAAGTGTATCCTTCTGCATTTTAGTGGTAGTGCTTTCTGTGGCACTGGATACTTCAGTATCATTGATGGGGGGTTGTGCGGTAAAGAGAGATTTGGGTCGTACCAGGCTGCTTTTACTGGTCTCTGCATCAGGTGGTAGGGAATATAATTCTTCCACACTGCAAGATTTGGGTCCTGATTGAGGTGTTTCTGGAGGAGTCTGTGGGGGCTGGATAGAAGCCACAATCTGAGAAAGCACTGTGTTTGCATTTTCCCTATTGCTGCTGCCACCAGAAGTCTCCTGTGCTCCTTCCCTTTTAGCTGCAGGCTCCTGACTTGTCTTCTGGACTCTTGTTGGGGAGCTGTGGTCAAAACTATGACTTCTTTTTGGTGATGTCTGACCTTTGCTAAGACAGCTATTGTACTCTTGAACTTTCTGAGCCACAGAACCCAGTTTACACTCTGTGCTATTAGTTACCCCCTTGGGCTGGGTAAATTCAGTGGGTTTGCTGGGTATATTTTCAGAGATTTTGCTTTCTGTTTCTATTTCTTCATATGTGTGGCTTATTACACTTGTTGTTTTATCTTTGATGGATAGCTCTCCACTGGTCCCTAGAAAACTTTTATAGATGGCTAAATTATCATATGCATTTGGATTGATTACAATAGGAACTTTGATAGCATTCTTTGAACTCCTAGCATATGTAGGTTCATCATGAATGATAATTGGGAAAGGTGGCATGCCAGCATTGTTGTAACTATTAAACTTTATCTCAGACAAATTGGGTGACTTCACTGGGATGGTTTTTGAAGAAATATTTGTGGTTGTAGGTGAAGTAGGAGCAGATTTGTGGCTGCTTTTCCTTGGAGGGACTGAAGGTCCTGAGCTATTAGCAATTAATTCCACCTTAGGTATCTTCTGTCGTGGGCTAGTACTGGAAGTCCATACTTCTTGGTATCTGACTGCACTGGATTTTTTTAGATTGGCATTTACTCGCCCAGATGATGCAGTAGTAGATATAATCGGTGCACCTGGAGTTCCTGGTGAATTTGGGCTAGATGGAGTACTTTTGGTTTCTGAGCTTTCAGTCTGACCTTCCATACACTCATTGGTCATGGCTGCTGACACATCTACTATAGTATAGGGCTTGCACACTGGTTGTTCCATATTCACCACTCTGTAAGGTTTGGCTTGATCTTCCATTGGTACCAAGTTTATAGTCACTGCTTGACCAGTAACATCTGTAGCACTTTTGCTTTCTTGATTATCACTTTGTACTGCAATCTTGCCATCCTTCTCTTCCAATCTAAGTGCAAGAACTGCCTTGTGAGTCTCTAGAATTTTTGCAGTGTTTCTGGAAGCTTTTGAGATGTCTTTCACTTGCTGCTTATCACAAAGACTCTCATAATCTGGTTCAATCAACTTGATCTCCTTAGGGGTACTGGGAGATAACCCTCCATTGCAGAGTTTTTGAGATGAGTTGCTGATTGTTCCAGAGCGAGACTCTTCAGTCAAAGAAGAATCGGGAGATGTGGAATCAGATGATACCATACTCTGCATGCTTTCCTGCCCAAAAAGGATCACAGTTTCTTCTTCATAACCATTTAAAATTTCATCATAGCTATCATCATAGTCTACAGCACAAATCCTCTGTAGAGACTTGTTCCTTAAAGGCACAGTGTTCCATTTTTTGTCAACATAAAACCGGACAGGAGATAGGGTGTTAGCTCTAAAGTTAGCAAAGCGAGGTTGGCCACGCATGCGAATTTCCATTGCTAGCAGCTCTTCATCACTTTCATCCCAACTCTCATGCTCTTCTTGCATGCTGCCAAAAAACATATCATCCTCACTCTCATCTCCACTGGAGAATTCTGGGTAACAGAAACGCCCACCTTCATTACTTATTACTTCAGTGCTTCCACTCAGAATAACATGCTTACTATGTGAATCCTTCATTCCACCCATCATGCAGCTTGGAGGGATCTGTCTTTCTAATGATCTTTTATAGCAATTATTTATTCTTCCCAAGAAAGTTTCCCTTGAGTTCATTTCATTTCCTGTTAGTTGAGGTGTGGTATCCAAACCCGCAATTTCCTTCAACACTTCTGTCAGTCCATTATTATTATTGTTATTTGGTATCTTACTTGCACTATCATTGTTGCCATAAGGCCTATGAACATGGCTATAACCTTCAATTTCATCTTCATTATTATTGTTCAGTGGCTTTTTGTTCAAGACAGCCTTGTTTTGGTTCCACCCTATAATTACTGGCTTGTTCTCACAATGATCTGGTGTGCTGATCTCACCACTGACACTCTGCCCATCTACCACCATCATGGTGGGTTTCACAGCTATAGTGGGTTTCTTTGCTACAGGGGGTCGGAAATTTCCTGTACTTCTACCACGGTGGTTGTTGCTGTGGTTTGCATTGGTTTTCAGATTACCATGTGAGAGGAGAGCCTTTTCAGAGGCTGGGGGCAGTTGGTGCAAGCTTTTGGGTTTGAAGCAATTTTTACATTCACCAGGTTTCCAGACGTGTTCAGTGAAGGTGTTGCAAGCAGACATTTTCCCAGAGCTTTGCAGCTGATCTTCCACTGTTCAGTGCATGGTAAGAACTTCAGACATTTGTTTTCACTCTGCTCATTTATTCTGGCTATGCTTTCAAATAGCCATTTCTTTCTAAAAATGAAAGACAGAAAACAAAAGATAAGAATGGGGGAAAACCAACAACATTCAGTCACAAGTGAATGACTGTTTATACTCATATTCTGACTGTTTCTCCTTTTACAACACTTACTCTTGGGGGAATTCTGTGCCACTGTGCAATGCAGAATTTACGGAGAATTAAAGTTCTGCATAGAATTTCATTTCTTCCCACAGAATTGGTGCTGCACTGCTGCTGGCCACCACTAGGGGCTACTGGTCCTGGCAGAGCCGGGCTCCCCAACTCACAAATACAGGACACTGCTGGGGGGAGGGGAACTGGATGGTTCCTGGCAGCTGTGGTTCCTGGCACACCCTGAAGGAAGGAGGTGGCATGTGGGCCGTGGCCTCACAGTGAGCAGACAGCCCAACCCGGCAGAGTTGGAGGCCCTGTGCACTGTCGGCCCTGTACCGCCCAACACTGAAATCACCACAGGAAACTCCATACAAGCCCGGTCTGACCAGCATCAGGCTGTTTCTCCCTATGGATCCCCAGGCTCTGGGAGGAGAGGATGCAGGTGTCTGGGACGGGGGGTGCCCCGTGGCTGTCATCTGGGGTTCGTGTGGAGGTCTCTGGCCCCGTGGCTGGGTTCTGGGGAAGAGGGGATGCAGGTGTCTGGGCTGGGAGGTACCCTGCACAGCCCCCACCAGTACTCCCCAAATACCCTCTCCCAGTACACACAGACCCCTCCAGCACTCCCCAACTGTATCCCCCTTCCAACTCCCCGTCCCCCTGGCATTGTCCTCTATTTGGGAGCCTCTATACGGTAACCCTATGGGGGCAAAAACTCAGAAATCAACAAAAGACAGGAGGGGCAGAGTTTTCCCCCAAGATGTGCTCAGCTGGCATGTGACACACCCAGACTGATATGCGCAACAAAAATATAACAGAGAAATAGGAAATAAATTACCAAAATAATTGAAACTGGAGTGATTAGATTGTATTACTTTCACAAATAAAATATGCAGAATTTTAAAATATTGTGTGCCATATTTTTATTTTTTTGGCACAGAATTCCCCCAGGAGTAAACACTCTTTGCAATGACTTAAAATAACCAAGTAGTCTCTATCTGACAACTTATAGCTCTTTATTGACTTCTACAAAACCAAATATATGAAAAGCAAAACAATTACATATAGATAGGGACCTACCAAATTCACAGCCATGAAAAATGCATCACGGACCATGAAATCTGGTCTTTTGTGTGCTTTTACCCTGTACTATACAGATTTCACAGAGGAAACTACAGAGTTTCTCAAATTGGGGGTCCTGACCCAAAAAAGAGTTGCAGGGGGGTGGGGAGGTCACAAGGTTATTTTAGGGGGGTTGTGTTATTGCCATTCTTACTTCTGCACTGTCTTCAGAGCTGGGAGGCTGTTGGCCAGGTGCCCAGTTCTGAAGGTCGTGCCATGACAGCAGCAGCGCAGAAGTAAAGGTGGCAATACCATACCATGCCATCCTTACTTCTGCACTGCTGCTGGCGGCGGCTCTGCCTTCAGAGCTGGGCTCCTGCCCAGCAGCCACCGCTCTCCAGCTGCCCAGCTCTGAAGGCAGTGCCACCGCCAGCAGCAGTGCAGAAGTAAAGGTAGCAGTACCGCAACCCCTCCATGATAACCTTGTGACCCCCCACCCACAACTCCTTTTTGGGTCGGGACACCTACAATTACAATACGGTGAAATTTCAGATTTAAATAGCTGAAATCATGAAATTTACTATTTTTAAAATTCTCTGACTGTGAAATTGACCAGAATAGACCGTGAATTTGGTAGGGCCCTAGATATAGAACAGTGGTGGGCAACCTGTGGCCCATCAGCGTAATGCGCTGGCGGGCTGTGAGACAGTGTTTACATTGACTGTCCTCAGGCACAGCCGCCTGCAGCTCCCAGTGGCCACGGTTTGCTGTTCCTGGCCAATGGGAGCTGTGGGAAGCGGCGGCCAGCACATCCCTGAAAAGTGACAATTAGGAATCTAGTGTTAAATTCCTACTTATTCAGTGCTATTGACCTTCAGTTCTGCCTGATAAACTGGAAGCTGAGAAAGATAGGACCTAAAACTAAAAAAGAAGGGTATGTCACCACAGAAACCTCCTCCAAAATATTAGACAGGACGGGGATGGTTAAAGAATATGTTGAGTTTTCTCAAATGCGATCTAAAGCATTTGATTTAGGTTCAAAGGTGAACGTTCTATTGCTTGACTGAGAGAACCTGCCTGAACAATTCAATTTAATTCATAGTTACCTGACAAAAAGCCTTTCAATCATGTTTTCATCAAGGTCAAATTATTACTGGGCAGATACTTTAGTGAAAGAGAAAATGGTTACTCCAAAAAGAGAGCTGGATAAAAGACATTGATCCATTATATGCAGAAAGTCACACACTTCAGTTTCTTCATGGTATATCTTTAGTCAACTTAGTTTTATTGTCTCTGTTCTATCTTAAACCATATACATGATGCAAGGCAATGCTTCTTTTAGTCACTGGTTTGTTTCACCTATATTCTTCCTACCAAATCTGCAATACAAGTAGAAATTTCCCTCAGCTAATTGGAAAACTATTTGAGAATGAGTTTGATCAGTTCCTGAAATAATTAGCCCCGTGTCAAAAACCAAATATGAACCTACTAAATGTGAGCCTTCAGAATATGTAGGATTTGAGTCTTTCAAGAATTGATGTCTCACCAATTTAAACCTGCCAGGCCAAATTCATCCCAATGTAACTTCAGAGAATCATTTTTAATGTAAAAATACAAGGAACAGGAGGCAACTCTTTCTATTTTCTTAGGCCATTTGAATGATCAATATACATTTTTGATCACAGAAATAAATACAAACTGTAAATAAACCTATCTAGTAAATACAGCTCTCAGCCTGATTTAGTAGTTGGCATGTTATCAACAGGATTGCTACGCTGTAATTGACCAGAAACACAATTGGATTTCATCATAGTATGGCATACAATAGAAGCTATTAATAAAATTGGGCACTTGTATATATGTCAATTTTCTCAAATACAGTATGGTACGGTGCCTTCCTATTCACGCGATGATATGGGAGAGCTGCATAAGAAACACCCCTGTTCAAACACCAGATGGGGCTGCAGTCTAGCACTAGAACAGTTTTATCCAGCACATTCATAGTAACAGAGTTCTCATATTTCATATATTGACTAATAATGTTTAGAGACAAAGCTTTTTCCCTTGAAGATAGTCCCAAAACCTTTCTCTATATAATCTAACAGATATTAGCATTGCCAGATACTGATCTATTCAAATGTTAAGCCTTTGGTTTTTATAGCAATGGGGAAAATTACTTTTCCTTCTTTGTTGAACTCTTTGAAGCAGCTTTGCTAGCCCAACAACCTCATCGTATACTCTTATTATAAAAGTTACATTCAAGAAATGAGTCTCCTGAAATATTTAAGAGAAAGTAGGGAAGTGCCAGAATCTCTCATTCTGGTGATCTCCCTGCTTTCATGCATCCACTACGTAAAAGAGAGAAAGAAAAAAAAAAGATGCTGTTCTGAGTCCAAACACAAATAATTCAAACAAAAGAGTAAGTGTGAATGTGATTTTTAAGGTTTAGCTGGTTTTTACAAACTCTCTGAGAGATGGACAGAGATGGATGCTTTGAAATTCTCTCACAAAATGGACAGTTTTATGGATCAGTGCTCTTTAGTCCAAACATTTTCTGATAAAAAGATTGTGGTAAAAATGATGGAGAGTAGCATATTTCATATCTTTGGGTTACAACAATGTTTTAATGCTTTTATTTACTCCCTCTTGTCCAGAGATGCTGAAACTGATCAGCTTTTTTCCTCCTCCAAATAAGAGTTGCATACGGAAAAATGAATCTGAATGTTAGATGTAAGAAATTGGCAGAAACCAGGGAGATTCATATTTAAAAAGCCCGGCTCAAGTTAAAATATTAAAATGATATAGTCATAGCTGTACACAAACTTACGCTTACATATCCCAAAGGCACCAGTATAGAAATCGAGCTCACATTAGGCATACACTAGCCATTAACATTAGCCATTAATAATTTAGAACATTAACACCTAATATAAATGGTTTACACACAGCCTCATGACATGACATATAGTTTTCTGATATAGCCTGTGAAGTGGGCAAGAGTCATTCAGTTAATAGTTCATAAACTACAGATTGGTTTCCAGACAGACACAGATTGGTTTTAGACAGTCACAGGATGTCTGATTTGTGAGCTCTCCATGTAACATCCTCTGAAATCACCTGCAGCTGTGAGAAGGGAACTCTGCACCTTCAAACCATAGGAAATTTTGTTGTTTGTGGGCTGGAAAAAGTAAAGGAATTCAAATATCTATTACTTTCTAATTTTAATACCAAAGGCACTTTGGAATATTAAGAGCTAAATTGATAGCAAACTTGAAGTTTAAAAATCAGTGTCTGAACTCTATAAAGATAGAAAAAAGTCTATCCCTTTCTTCACTGGAACATAACTCAAAAATTATTTGACATATTTTGCTGAACTACTTTCTCCCCTTCCTAGCCCTTAAAATGACAATGGCTAAACTCTTTCAACCTTAACTATAGGTACTGTGCTGTCCTCACATTCTGAATGTTGTTCTGGTAGCTGTTACCAGCAAGAGGTATCGTTTGATAGTGTGCAGCAGAGTCCACTAAAGCTAATGGAAACACATATACAAAGTACCTCATGTTCAAAAAGGAATATTTTAAAATTTCAGTTGGTTGAAATAATCTAACATAATTTGCTTATGAATCTATTTTGCTCTACTATTCAAGAGAAAGGTGCTTGTGAAACTGACACACCCCTGCCCTGATAATCTTCTTATTCTTCAGATATCAAAAGAACATATTCAGTCTCTCCCTCCATAGTTTGCATGCCACCACTCAACAAGCTACCTAGCCATTGAAGCAAATGAGAAAAACTCTGTGGAAATTCCTATCCCAAAGTGATCACTATAATGAATTATAA